TTGCTCTAGTTTTACTCGGAATTTTTCTTTTGTTCTTAAGTGAGATTGGCCCACAGTTTTCACTTCCTTCACTGTTCTCATCTGGCATTTGTTTTAAGAATTTACTAGTGTCATAAAATGAATTGAGGAGCTTTCTCTTCTTTTCTATTTTCTGAACCATTTCATATAAGACAGAACTGCCTCTTAAACTGTCTGGGTCTGGTGTTCTGGGTTTTATTTTTGTGAGGAGATTAACTATTGATTTGCTTCCTTTTATAGGCTTATTCAGGTTTTCCATTTCTTCATGAGTTCATTTTGGCAAACCATTTTTCTAGGAAATGGTTCTTTTAAGTTTTCATATGGATTACCTGAAGTTGTTCATAGTAATTTGTCATGTTTTTTAAAAAAAACCTCTGCTATATCTGTGATAACTATGTCTTCTCTTTCATTCCTAACATTGTTTAGTCTCTCTATTCTGATCAGTGTTGCTGTGGTTTTGCTGTATTATTAGTTTCTGTGAAGAACCAGTTTTAAATTTTATTAATCCTTTTTATCATTTGTTTTATATTTTAAAATTTCTGCTCTTACCCTTGTTTTGCTTTCTATTTTCTTTGGTTTGACTCTGTTCTTTTTGCAATTTGAGTTGAGTGTTCAGATGTTATCCTTTTATTCTTTTTTAAGATAGGCAGTTTTGTCTAATGTACAGATTTCCCTCTCTCTTTTGCTGCATGTGTAACATATAAGTTCTGATCTATATATTATATCTTTATCTATACCTACATCTACATCTATATCTACAATATATCTACATCTATATCAGATATATTTCTAATAACTTAATTTGAAATATCTTCTAATTTACACTATGATTTCTTTTTTGACTTATAAATTACTTACAATCACATTTAAGCCTCCAAATGTATAGTCTTTGGTTATATTTTTGTTATTGATTTTTGTATTATTGCATTGTGGTCAGAGAATATGTTCTATGATTTTGATTCTGTGGTGTTGAAAATTTTTTTGTTGCATTGTACCTAGTACATAGTTAGTTTTTGTTATAGTTTCATGTGAAGTGAAAATATGTGTTTTCTCTGTTCCACACATTTATGGACTAAACTTATTTATTGTGTGGTTCAATCTTCTTTATCTTTATCAATTTTTATTTGCTCAAGACAGTTCTTAAAAGAGCTGTTTTAAAATCTCTTGACACAATGGCAGGTTTTTCAGTTCCTGCTTGTAACACTATCACACTTATTTTACACATTTTGTGGCTATGGTTTTGGAATTTGTTTTATCTGTCTGGTGAATGGCCACTGTTATCACATAGTAACTCTCTTGTTTTTGCCTTAAAGTCTGTTGTCTATTGATATGACTAGAAGAATTGTATTTCCAATCCATTGTTTAATGCTTTCCTATTTATGTATTTTTTATGGAGATATAATTCACATACCATAAAAGCCACCCTGGTACAGTGTATAGTTAAGGGATCTATAGTATATTCACACTGGTTTGCAACCATCACCACTCTATATTTCCAGACCTTGTTATCTACCCCAAAAGAGACACTGTACCCATTAGCTATTCTATTTCCTTTCCCCTAGTGCCTAGCAACTCTACTTTCTGCCTCTATGGATTTGCTTATTCTGGACATTTCATATATGTGAAATCATACACTATATGATTGTATGATCTGGCTTCTTTCACTCAGCACAATATTTTCAAGGTTCAGCCAGGTAGAAGCACATGTTGATACTTCATTCTTTTTTTTTTTTTTTTTTTTAGTATATTTTATTGATTTTGTACAGAGAGGAAGGGAGAGAGATAGAGAGCTAGAAACATCGATGAGAGAGAGTCATCGATCAGCTGCCTCTTGCATACCCCTTACTGGGGATATGCCCGCAACCAAGGTACATGATGCCCTTGACCGGAATTGAACCCGGGTCCCTTCGGTCCCCAAGCGGACGATCTATCCATTGAGCCAAACTGGTCTCGATACTTCATTCTTTTTTATGGCCGACTAACATTCCATTCTCTGGTCTTTCATAAATGTCCACCCACTCATTAATGGATGGACATTGGATTTCTCAATCCATTATTTCCATCTGTATGTATGCTTGTGTCTTTCGAGTTTCTCTTACAAACATTAGAGCAACATTACATTTCTAACATTTACTCTAGCAATCTGTTTTTTAACTGGTAAGTTTCTTCCATGGTGATTACTGTCATTGGGATTTATTTCTAATCTCTTATTTTGTTACTTCTATTTATCGTGCTATTTGTTTGCTACCTGATTTTCTTTTTTGCCTTCTATTGGGCTGATATAGTGGTTTATTATATTTTGAGTGTTTTAATTCCCTTTCTCTCCATCTATTGGTTTGGAAAGCTTACATCCAATTTCAAAGACAAAAAAATATTTTCTTCCTTCTGAACAACAAAAGGGCTTTAGAATATTTCTCTTGGATGACTCCTCTCTCATCTTATGTGTAACCCATTTTTAAATTCCACTTCAATTTTGTCTCTACACTTAATAATTCTTACTGTTTCACTGATTTAGATGTTTATACTTAAAAAAGCCAATTTCTTAAATTCCCTTCCTTTCTTTGCAGCTTAATTTCAGTTTTCTGGAAGTGCATACTTTAGTAGCTTTTCTGGTAATATATCTGGGTTACTATTACTTTCTTTAAGCAGTGTGCAGACATCCTATCTAATAAAAGAGTCATATGAAAATTGACCACACCTCTGCTACACCCACAAGTGATACCTACCAGCCAATCATGAGTGAGTATGCAAATTAACTCAACCCAAGATGGCTGCAGCCATGGAGCGAACAGGAGGCTTGGGTTTCCCCATCGATGGAGGAAGCCAGCTTTCTGCCTGCCCTGGCCTGTCCTAGCCTCTGCTTAAGGCTAAAAAGTTTCAATTATAGAAGATAAATCCCAGATACCAGGGCCTCCACTTGGGTCACCAGGGCTTTCACTTGGGTCACCTGCAAACCACCACAGGCTCCTTGCCCAGGCTACCCCATGCCCCAAGGGACACCTTTCAGGGCAAACAAGCTGGCCCTCACCAGGCCTCTATGCTATCTAATAAAACAGTAATATGCAAATTGACCATCACTCCAACACACAAGATGGCTGCCCCCATGTGGATACAAGATGGCTGCCACAAGATGGCCAATAGGGGAGGGACAAGGTCTGCAAGGAAGGGCAGTTGTGGGTGATCAGGCCAGCAGGGGAGGACAGTTAGGGGTGACCAGGCTGGCAGAGGAGGGAAGATGGAGGCAACTGGGCCTGTAGGGAAGGGCAGTTGAGGGAGACTCAGGCCTGCAGGGGAGAGCATTTGGGGGGACCAGGCCTGCAGGGGAGGGCAGTTAGGGGCAATCAGGTTGTCAGGGGAGCAGTTAGACATCAATCAGCTGGCAGGGGAGTGATTAGGGGGTGATCAGGCTGGTAGGCAGAAGAGGTTAGGGGCAATCAGGAAGGCAGGCAGGCAAGCAGTTAGGAGCCAGCAGTTCTGGATTATGAGAGGGATGTCTGACTGCCCATTTAGGCACAATCCTCTGGGGACATCCCTAGAGGGGTCCCAGATTGGAGAGGGTGCAGGCTGGGCTGAGGGACCACCCCCCCCTCCCCCCCACCGCGCACAAATTTCATTCACTGGACCTCTAGTTATTCCATATTTTCTGTGTTTCCCTATTGCTGTTGAGGAGTCTGTCAGTTTGATTGCTGCTTCTGTGTAGAGAGAGTGTATTTTCTCTTTGGCAATCTGCTTTCACTGCCAGTGTGAGATTATTTTTATTTTTCCTGCTCAGCACCCATTCCCTGTCTTTTGATTCATGTATTTCATCACTTCACAGCCATTATTGCTGAATATTGCCTTTGTTTAAACTCATGGTTCTTTCCTTGGACCTCCTAATAGATGTGTATTGTTTTCACTTGTCGACTATATATTTTTTAACTCTTTGCTTTATATAATATTTGCCATCTCTTTATCTCTTTGTGTTATATGCAGAAAGTGGAGATATAAAATGGAGATAATAGTACCCTCTGCTTATTGGGGTGCTTAACACAGGGCCTGGTACATGATTGGTTACTTCCCCTAGGAAAAAGGGGGAAAAACATTTTGTTTATGTCATTGTGATAATTTTATGTGTCAACTTGGGTAGGCTAGATACTTGGTCAAACACTATTCAAGATGTACCTATGAAAGTATTTTTTGTGAATGAGATTAACGTTTAAATCAATAGACTGTGAGTGAAGTAGATTATCCTCCACAGTGTGGGTGGGCCTCATCTGCTCAGTGTAAGGCCTTAAAGAGAGAAAGACAGCTCCTCCAAGAAGGGGAAATTCAGCCAGCAAACTGCCTTTGGGCTTGAACTTTACTCTTTCTGGTTCTCCAACTGCCAACCTAGCCTATTCTACATTTACATGAGCCAGTTCCTTAAAATCAATGTATGCTCTCTCTTCCCATCTCTCTCCCCACGCTCTATCCACACACACACACACACACTACTCTATACCTATACCTATTGGTTCTGTTTCTCTGGAGAACCTATACTAATAGTCATGGTGCAGTGGACTTGAAGCTCACCAAGGGCAGGGGCGGTCTGTCTTTGTCCAACTCTCTATCCCTAGCACCTAGCACAGTTCTGGCACATAGTAGGTGTACCACGTTGGTAGCCTGGTGGTTACCAAACACTTTAAACCTTCTTCATGGTAGCTGGAATGTTGGCTCTAGTGCGAACTGAGAGTGACTAGAGTCAAGAACAGATTAGAGTCTGGGGTCTGTGGTGAACTTAAAGGGGCTGCCAAGGCAGGTGATGAGAAGTTTTGAACCAGATGTTGGTTGAAGATAAAACTTCAACATGGAGAGAAAAGACTCCAGGTTCAGGAGCCTGCCTTTGTCCAGAAGCTCTTTGGACCCGGCCAGAGCAGGGGCCATCTCACTTTGACCATCATGTCCTTCCGAGTCAGTTTTCATTTTAACAACCTTCAACAGACTGGCCCCAGAGAGAGTTGATCTTTCTCAAGTTTTATTGTAAAATCCTCGAAAAAGAGCATTTACAATGACAGTCCGTTATGATAATTTGTGAATCATCTTTATATCAAGTGGTACTGCAAATACACGGTGTGTTCAATACTGTGTGATACGTCAAAGTAAATGCAACTTATTTCAAATGCCACATACAGTTACAGTGTTGGTACAAATCTCTACTAAAGTTGATGTATTAAAAATAATTTATATATATTTTATAAATAAGGAAAAATTCACATGTATAGTAATTATAGGAGGCCTCTTGAGAAATATGGTGATTACAGAAAATATATTTTGGAGTCTACATAACTGCTCAAAATAATGTAATCTGCCTTGACATGAGAGATCCGAAAGTTCTCTGAGGCGGGGCTGGATGAGATGCTACAGGACAAGCGGGGTGTGTGTGACTTCATATTTTGAGGGGCATTCAGCTACACTACAGCAGAAAGCAGTGTGTGTGTGACCATTCCAGCAAAACTCCATGCCCAGTTCTGCTTCCGGGTCATCGCACAGGTCTTCAGAAAGCGTGGGCAGTGGTGGGGAGGCAGGGCACGCAAGGGCCAGGCCAGGAAGGGGCAGGGTCTGGGCAGTGGGGTGTGGGCCATGGGGTCCCCATGAAAGGGGGTGCTGTGGCTCTGGCGTGGGTGACTTGCAGACCTGTTGTTCCTCACCTCTCTGAAGCAGCGGTAGTAGCCAGGGACCAGCAACTCTTAAACCTCAGGCAGAGGTTGTGATGGGCAGTGGATGAAGGTTTAGATTTAGGGAATTTTCTCACTTGGGAGCGCCTGGGCCCCGTAACCAGCCAATCCTGGTGGCCCTTCCTTAGAAATGAAGCTCCGATCTCGAAGAGTCCCCCAAAAGGCAGCGTTCTCCGATCCTGCCATGATGACATGTAGACATGGAGACAGCACTTGTCACCAGGCTTGGGGTAGGGGCCAGTCAATGGTTATTGCTCTGTAGAGCCCTCTAGGTTAGGGGTGTCGAACTCAATCAGAGAAGGGGCCAAAATCTAAAATCCAGCCTAAATCGCGGGCCAAATGGTTTACTGAACAGTCATAAACTGTCATTGTGATGGAAACGCAGCGGAGTGCAGTGATGACAGCGCGGTGCGGGCCACATTGCAAGGCCTGGCGGGACGGATTTGGCCCGCGGGCCTTGTGTTTGACACATGTGCGTCTAGGTCATGGTCCACATTCTCTGGGGCCCCATGGGGAAGGGATGGTTTTACATCAGTTAAGATGAGCTTGTAAAGAGGGGTGTGTGAATTGAGACTTAGTCAAAACCCCCCTTAGTAAAAAACATGCTTTATATTCTGGCGCTGGTTAAAGAAGTCTTGTGAATTTTGGAGACTAATTCCCATTCTCCCTGTATTTTCCATAATTCCACACACCGTGTCGAGTTCAGTTCCCACTCGCTGCTCACAGCTCCAAAGGATGTGTGAGACCACGCTTGGTGGGCTCCTGCTGGCTGCCGATGGCCGGCGCCTGAAGCCCGCGGGCCCAGGGAGGATGCTCAGGTCCTCTAGTGACTTGGCTGGTCACCTGGTGGAGACTACAGTAGGAAGTGGTTCTATCCCTACAGCTACTTGGGGTCTTGCAGTCACAGCTTGAGGAGGCATTTTCCCATTGAAAAGGTTAAAGCATGTCTGTCCTGTGATCTCTAAGATTCTGCAGAGAAACCAAGGCAGTGTGTAACTTTCTAGGAAAACTGCTTTGCCTACATGCCAGCCTGGGAGGAAAGAAACAATAGCATCCGGCCCTGTGAGTGACTGCTTGCTTCTACCCCAAAGCCAGGGGCTGGGGCGGCAGTGAGGTCAGTGGCCTTTTGAAATGAAGGAGCAGGAGGCTCGAGGCAGAGGGAGGAAGCAGGAAAAGCAGAGGACAGCGTTGGAATGGAGGGAGGTGTCGCTTAGGCCTCTCAGGGATGAGGCTGGCGCAGATGTCACAGTCTCTGTCCCCGTCGACAGTTTCTGTCTGATAGTAGCTGACTTACGTTCTGAGTTCTCTCTAGTCTTGCTCATCTGACTCTAAAGGGCTGCAAGCAAGCGTTTGGGGGTATGAGGGTGGGATTCTGGGCAGCAAGGGGCGGTGCCCCATGGGTTCTGACTGCACTTGGAGTGGCATCTGCGTCCTGGTTTGGGGAGGATGGCAAAGGACTCCATGTCAGCATTGTCATCATCCCCGGCACCTGGCTGGCCTCCTGGCATGGGGGCAGCGCCTGGCGGTGCTGGGGGCAGGGAGGAAGGCGTGAGGTAGATTGGCGGATGTGTAGGAGGGAGGGGGCACGATATGCTCTCCTGCGGGCCTGCTTCTGAAGAGAGAGATCCGAGAGAGCGAGCGAGGGGTCTGGTGATGAGCATGGTTCAGCGTCCAAGGTATTTGAATGAAACACACTCTGAGAAATCAACCGATTTACTTTTTAAGCCCCTTGTAGAAAAATATATCCAGAATGAATCTGTCTCACATCTCAGTTCTGAAATTGCCTTTAGTTCACAGGTTATTGGTCAACGGAAAACAGGAAGTTGTGGCTGCACAAAGCTGACTCCAGGCGGCTTTCCTCCATGGTCTCCGTGGTTACCATCCTCTAGTGCAGCAGGTGGGTCTCTGCTTTATTTGGGGTGAAAACTGTCCTCCAGGGCACCTACCTGCGCCAGGAGGTGGGGAGAGGGCTGGGCTGGGTGGGAATGGCAGGGACTGAGCTTCTGTGTCTGGCGGTGCCATCTTTAGATCAAAGCACTTGGAGCTTGCTAGGAGCGATTGGCCCCAGCCAAGTTTTTAAAGGGCTCTTCTGGCTACTTCTGGGGACTTGGGCTAATAGGACCCGTGAATGACTTGGAGACTTAAGATAAAAGCCTGGGCCAGCCCCAGGCCAGTCTCGCTGGGTCAGGGTTGCTGGGGCCGGCATTTGAAGTGTCATGCGTGGTCCATGCCCAGGCCTTCTTGTGCAGAAAGGCCACTCAATCATCTAGAAACAGACCCCCTTTTCTACCACCAGTAGCTGGGTGGGCTTTTGGACCTGGGACCTCCACGTGGGCTCACTATGAGGATGAGGGCCTCCAATTCAAAGCCTTAGCCAGGTGTTATTTGTGTTTGTTATTCCGAAAAAAAAAAACCAAACAACCCAAAAAACAAAAAAAAACTGTTGAATTTTGGTGAAATTTTATTTCAGGATTCAGGAATGTTGGGATAGTGAGTTGGGATAGTGATAATGGCCTTTTTGGTGATTCTTTTGGTAAAAGGAATCCTCCTTGAATGCGAAAAATGAGTAGTTGACGTTTTGTGTTCATCACAAGGATTGCTGGCTGGGTTTGCTTTAAGGCCCACCTGTTGTGATGACTTCTGACCCCAGCTGGTTTCAAATTGTGTTCCATGGGCCAGCCTGGTCCCTGCCTCCCACCCAAGCAGCTCTGTGGAAAGCATCTACCCGCGAGCCTTTGTGAATTTGCACATTGCGCTGTTTTCAGGCCCGTGAATCTTTTCTCCAGTCCAGCTGTGTCTGGCATGTGGACAGCGAGATGGGAGCTGCATGGTGAGGACAGGAGAGGCAGATGTGCTTTTCCGAACACTCAGCAAAGCCAGGACGGGGGAAGGAGCAGGTGCTGTGGTTTAAGAGGCCAGTTGGGATCAGTTCAGTCTTCTTCTTAGGAATCTGCAAGCCAGAGGGGCTGGCGTTTGGCACGGCTGTCAGTGGGCTCCCCTCGGCTGGGGTGCGGGGGCTTTTTTCTGCCAGGCACTGCCACAATTTAGGTTTTTCCGGAGGGTGAAGTTCATGAAAATTGGAGAATTTCCGTGATTAGAGTGGGAGTTTGGAAGTAAATGTGTCAAGAGATTGAGGCAAGAATAAAAAGAAGCCCTGACTGGTTTGGCTCAGTGGATAGAGCGTCGGCCTGAGGACTGAAGGGTCCCAGGTTCGATTCCGGTCAGGGGCATGTACCTTGGTTGTGGGCGCATCCCCAGTAGGGGGTGTGCAGGAGGCAGCTGATGGATGTTTCTCTCTCATCAATGTTTCTGACTCTCTATCCCTCTCCCTTTCTCTCTGTAAAAAAATCAGTAAAATATATTTTTAAAAAATTAAAAGAAAAGAAAGGGGGAGAACCATTCATCCCAGTTATTGTGTGACTGAATATGAGACTTTTGAAGACAGTTTCCTCAACCTATATCTACATATTGTACCTGTAGAAAAAAATCTAAAATGTGAATGCACATGTTTAGACACACTCCTGAGAATTGTGGGAAACAGGTGTCTGGTGGACCAAGATACAGGAGACACAAAAATAGATGGCTGATCTCAGGAAACTCGGGGGAGAGGGGGGGACAGGTGGGCTAGGCAGCCGGGTGGGAGGGGAAGGGGCTGTGTACGAGTGAGGCAGGGTCTTGCCTTCTCTGCAGCACAGGAAACAATGGCCATGCTGGCGGGGGAAGGGGCTACACTAGCTAAGGTGCCTGCGGTGGGACCGCCTCTCCCAGGTGGTTAGAAAGGCGATCGTTCAGCCAGCAAGTGGGCCGGTATGTTTTGGCCGCTGATGTGTGAAGGAAAGCAGTGTTCCGAGAACCCAGGGGAGCCTCTTTCTCGCTGAGATTCTTTAAAAGACTGTCTTCCCAAAGCTGCTGGGTTGTACTGAGAGCCCACCATCGCCGAGACACGTGGGAATAGTTCGGCAGAATATAACCAGCCTGCATCCTTCTGATTCTGAGCTTCGGAGTGTGTGCCACCGGGGAGATGGGGGCGCTGTGTGCGAGATGAAATACTGGAACCCTCCCTGTACTAACTGTGCTGCGATGATGCAGGGACGAGGGGCACCAGAGCTGAGAGGAAATTGGTTTTTAAAAGGGAACCTGCCTGGACACCACTGTGTCCTTGGGGTTTCAGCAGTGAGTCTGGAGGTTGCCTCATCTGCCTTGAATCTGAGCCTGGCTACTATTGATAAAATGTCCTCCTTCCAGGCCTAGACGATTTGGCTCTGTGGACAGAACGGCGGTCTGCCGACTGAAGGGTCCCAAGTTCGATTCCGGTTTAGGGCATGTACCTCGGTTGCAGGCTTGATCCTTGGCCTTGATTGGGATGCGTGCAGGAGGCAACCCATTGATGTGTCTCTCTTTCTCTCCCCTTCCCTTCCACTCTCTCTAAAAATCAATAGAAAAATATCCTCAAGTGAGGATTACTGAACAATGTCCCCTTCCATGGTGAAAAGCAGGCACACAGGGTCTATCCTAGTTTCTTGGGGTCCCAGCCCAGAGCACAGTCTTTGCCATGGTGGTGGCTGATCGGTACTTGGGGGTGTCAGTGCTGTAGGGGACTGCTCCTCCTTGATAACCACTGTCCTTTCTGGCTGGGGGGCCTGGGGTGGCGACTCTCAGAGACTTGGCCTAAGGCAGGGACGGACAGAGCGGGACCTCGGAGAGCATCTTTCTGCTTACTAGCATTTGAGATTATAAAAAATTATTTTTTAATCCAAGTTTCCAAAATAAAGCGAGTGATTTTCCCACCCCACCCCAAGCTGCAGTAAGTCTTTCTGGCTCTCTCTCAGGCGTACAAGTCAAATGGAAAGAAAAGCAGGAAGCAGCTGTGAAGGAGGAAGAGGAGCAGAGCGAGGGCAGGCGTGGCTCTCCAGCCTTAGCCAGGCCCCTGCTCCTGCTCGGCTGTGTCCGGCCCCGGCCTCAGGCCCCTCCGCAGGGTGCAGTCTGGCTGGGTCTGGCGGCAAAGGAGAATGACTACGTGAAGGCAACCGACGGAAGTGCCCGCCCGGAAAGCAGGGGCGCTGGGTTCCACGGCGTCCCCAGCCACGTAGCATGGAGCTGGGCACGGACACGCCTCCTGTACCCACCGTGGCCCGAGGCTTACCTCATCCTCCCCAGCGGGAACACCGCAGCTTGGCGAGCGGCGAGCAGCGCACACCTTGGACGAGGAAACTTGCAAGGAGACCAGTGTCGAACCACGAAGCGGATACGGGTTTTTGCTTTTGTCTGTGAAAATGTACAGGGCGCCCGCCGGGGGGCTGCGGTGTCAGGATGGGGCTCCGCGCCGGCCGCCCTCACACCTCGCCCACCCACACCACGGTGGCGCCCCGCCGGACGCCCGCCACCTCGCACCGCAGCGCGTTCTGCCGCCCGTCGATGAGGAACAGGGACTCCCGGGCGGGCGTGAGGAGGTACTGCCCGAACAGCCCGCTGTCCCGCACGGCCCTGCGCGGCCCTCCCCAGCGCCCGGCCGGCCCCGCGGGCGGCTCCTTGAGGCCCTGCAGCCGGCCGGCCCGGCCCGTGGCCAGCTCCAGGAACAGCAGGTCCGGCTGGGCCTGCAGCGCGGCGTAGACGCGGTACTGGCCGCCGTGGGCGAAGGAGCGCTGGAAGGCCACGTCGGAGACGCCCCCCCGGCCGACGTCCAGGGCGTGGAGGGTCCGGAGCTCCCCCCGCAGCGTGACCTCCTGCACGTGCAGCCGGGGGCCGGCGGCGGCCGCGCTGACCACGAAGCGCCCGTCGGGGGACGCGTGCGGGGTGCCGGTCACGTCGCCGTTGGGGCCGACCGTGGCGTCCGTGACGCCGTCGATGAGCAGCTGCGGGGCGGCCGCGGCGCCGGCCCGGAGGCACTGCACGAAGAAGTAGCCGCCCAGGTGGGAGTGGGCCATGGCCTGCGGCAGGCAGCCGTGCCGCTGCAGCCCGATGGTCTTGACGAGCAGCAGCGTCTCCAGGTCCACCTTGTGCACGGCGGGCTCGGACGTGTTGAAGACGAAGCCGAACCTGGGAGGGGAGGGCGGAGGTCAGAGGTCAGAGGCCTCTCGGGGTGGGGGACCTGTCGTTCCTCTCACAGGACTGCAGCCTGTCCCTCTACCGTAGCCCTGCAGGGGTCTGACGGCCCCTGGAGGAGAACTCCCATTGTGCGGGGACGGCTCCCTGCGATCCATCTGCCGTCTCCAGCAGGAGGAGAGGGGACAGCGAGGTTCCTGGGCAGGCGCCTTCGTGCACGCGCTCATCGTTAGAAACGGTGCAGGCGGGTAACCGTGGCCGCGCCGCGCCCCCCCGCGGCCGTGTGCCGGCTGGGAAGGGCTGGCCTGTGTCTGCAGGGAAAGGACAGGGTGTGCCTGCCATGGCCTGGGTGAGGGCGCGGGCTCGCACTCACCGGTGAGTGGGGATCGGAGGACGCAGGCTCAGGGAAGCTCAGGTTTCCTGAGAGGGTCGCCTCTGCCTGGGACCGGGAGGGACACCCCCGCTCCGGCCACATGTGTGATGCTGGTGGGCAGGGGGCCCAGAAGCGGTTTTCACCCAGAAGGCCCGGCATTGCTGAGGCCCTGCCATTCTCGGGGCCTGGGCACTTGCTTTCCTCTCTGAGCCCCCGGGAATCTAAAGAGGGTCCTTTCTCATTCCTCAGAGGGCTCTGGGATCCAATCCAAGAGGAAGCTTTGGTGGCAGAGCTCAGGGGGTGACTTCCCCAAATCCCTCGTTGGCGGCCGCTTGCTCCATGGTCGGAGGCAGGCCTCCCTTTGCTCCGAGAGCCTCTCCTAGATCCGGTGCTTTAGAGGCGTCCTGACCCTGCACCACCCGCAGGAAAGAGGAAAATCGCTCCCACCACTTCCTTTCCTATAGCGAATAGCAATAGCGGCGCCTCAGAGTGGGGAAAAGGCCCGCTTTAGAGCATCCGTGAAGCATCCTTAAAGGGCCAGCGCGTGGGAAGCGCAGGAAAGAAAACCCACTCTTTTAAGGAGCTTGAGTGCGAAAGCCACACCCAGGGCTGCTGAGTCCCTGCGTTTGCAGGACTCCAAGCTGAGCCCAGCTCCTCTGGGGGGGTGTCCCCACTTAGAACCCCGTTAGGGGCTCTTTCCCAGGTGCGCTCTGCAGTGTAGAGGGGGTGGGGGGGGTGGGGTGGGGAGGGCAGAGAGCGGTGATTTTCCTCCCTGGGCAAGGAGGACACAGGGGTGAGTCCTATTTTTACAAGTTCAGCATGAGCTTGCAACTGTGAGTCATTTCTTCCTGGAGAAAGGTGCTGGGTGTCAGGTAGAGGAAGGCATGAATAGTGCCACGGGACACCTGGGTCTCAATGACTTTATCAAGGGCAGGCTCAGTCTGTGGGCAGCGGTGACGGTGACGTTACAGAAAGTGTCAGGGGCGCTCTGAAATGAGTAGCAGGGAGAGGCCCCGGGGGGAGGAGCTTTGCCCCGGAGGCCGGGGCTGTTATTGGAGCCTCTTCTTTGGGATGGTGGCACCCAGGCACCCAGGGGGCCTTGTTTCCTTGTAGGGCGGCTCTGAGGGCTCTGAGAGGACCCAGGGCCGGTGGTTAGCAGAGGATGAGGCAGGATGGGGCACTCTAAGGAGCCCTGGCTTTGCATTTAGTCTGACTGCCAATTCCTGGCCGTGTGACCTTGGCCAGTGTCTTGTCTTCTCTGAACCTCCGTTTTCTCATCTGTAAAATAGGGCCGAGACCACTTCTATTTTGTGTCTAGCAAGGAGAGGGTGCTAAGTTAACCACCGCTGTTTCTCCTTTCCCCCGTGGTCCTCACCTTGAGGATGCGCCTCATTGACCTCACTGGGACC